TTGAAAGAAAAAAAAAAACACCCCCCCCCCCCCCAGTGGTGATTAAATTCCACCAAAAGAAAGCTCTACCTGTCCCCCAAAAATGGTACAAAATGAATTTCTGTACAGCGTTGCATGCCGGAATAAAAGTCAGTGAAAGTGCCGCAGCGCTGAATACTGGAAAATGGCCTTGCCAGGAAGGGGGTGTAAACACCCCGGTCATCAAGGGGTTAAAGTCCCTTTTCCAGACTCCTCTAGGGCCTGGTCTCGGGTGGAGTAAACGTTCCATTAAAATCTTCACAGAGACAAGAAATGTCAGAAAGTAATTGGGGACAAGTCTGGAAATGGTCTAGGTCTCTAGACAGAGTGGATGATAGATCGATGGCAACATCTGAATTCACTGCATTCTATCGGTTTCTCTGTGATCGCTATTGTCCTGAACCTGCCGTTGTCTCTTCCTTCCTTCCCTCCCTCCCTCCAGGATGAGCTGCGGACAGGAGAGAAGGCCGTCGTACGCTTCCGCTTCATCAAGCACCCTGAATATTTAAAGCCGGGTACCAAGCTCCTGTTCAGGGAAGGAGTGACGAAGGGTATTGGACATGTATGCAGCATGCAAGTCCTAGCCACGGAGATCTGCCACCTTTGACCCGAGACTCTGCCCACGTGGCAACTTCACACCACAGTGCCAAGGAAGACGTTCCTGTGGAGTTGTGTTCATCTTCGGGAATCACCGGTCTGGTCCTTACACCGAGAACCCCATTGTACCCTGGGAATTACTGGTCCAGTCCTCACACCGAGGGCCTATTAAACCCCACTTTTAGCCTTTCCGCTCTACCCGCTTTTAATCTATGACATCTTTTATATACATAAGTGGTTTTTAGAATCCCCCTTTTTTACTGTTCTTAATTTTTTTTTTTTAAGACACAGAAGGCCAGACGTGGATGTTTTCTTGTTACTCTGACCCGTCATGGTGTTGAGTGATCCAGCATAGTGAGCTTCCAGACCGGTGACCCCTGTTATTGTTTGTCTTAGGACAGGTCCTCACAGTGGCTGCAGTCCGGGCGTCTCCATATAACGGAGCAAGTCCAGAAGATGGAGGTATAAAGCTGCAAATCGCTCCACAAATGTAGATGACATCGGCTCATTCATTTCTATATTATTCAAAGTAAATCGCTCCCTTTTCCTTCTTTCCAAAGACCCTTTTGTGTCCATCAAACGAGGTAACAACTGCCGTCTTGTGCAGAGAGTACGAGGAGCAGTGAGTGGGACATAATTGGGCATTTTCTCCGGGTTTACAAGGTTTGAAGCTGCTGGTTAGCCAGGTGGCTCAGCTCCGTGGCACAAACTGGAGCTCTGCAGCTGTTTGTAGCAGTCGGTGGTCAGAGATGTGATTCGGAGCTCCGGCTTTGTAGCAGTAATTTGCTGGTCAGTGACTTGAATCTGAGCTCTGGCTTGTGTAGCAGTTGGCGGCCACGCAATGATGTGAATCGTTGGCTCCGACTTGTGCAGCATTTGGACATGAATGGTAGCTCGGACTTGAGTAGCTGTCTGTTATATGAATCAGAGCTTTGGCTCCTATAGCGGACAGAGATATGTATCGGTTGGACATGAATCAGAGTTCTGGCTTGAGTAGTTGGTTGGCCATATGAATCAGAGTTTTGGCTCAAGCGGCAGTCATTTGGTTGATCGGTGACGTTGACTGGAGCTTGGACTCGTGTAGCAATTGGACATGAATCGGAGCTCCGGCTCACGTAGAGGTCGGTGATATGAATCTGAGCTCCGGCTCATGTAGAGGTCGGTGATATGAATCTGAGCTCCGGCTCATGTAGAGGTTGGTGATCTGAATCTGAGCTCCGGCTCACGTAGAGGTCGGTGATCTGAATCTGAGCTCCGGCTCACGAAGAGGTCGGTGATCTTAATCGGAGCCCTGGCTCACGTAGAGGTCGGTGATATGAATCGGAGCTCCGGCTCACGTAGAGGTCGGTGATATGAATCTGAGCTCCGGCTCACGTAGAGGTCGGTGATATGAATCTGAGCTCCGGCTCATGTAGAGGTCGGTGATATGAATCTGAGCTCCGGCTCATGTAGAGGTTGGTGATCTGAATCTGAGCTCCGGCTCACGTAGAGGTCGGTGATCTGAATCTGAGCTCCGGCTCACGAAGAGGTCGGTGATCTGAATCGGAGCCCTGGCTCACGTAGAGGTCGGTGATATGAATCTGAGCTCCGGCTCACGAAGAGGTCGGTGATCTGAATCGGAGCTCCCGCTCATGTAGAGGTCGGTGATATGAATCGGAGCTCCGGCTCATGTAGAGGTCAGTGATATGAATCTGAGCTCCGGCTCATGTAGAGGTCGGTGATATGAATCGGAGCTCCGGCTCATGTAGAGGTCAGTGATATGAATCGGAGCTCCGGCTCATGTAGAGGTCGGTGATATGAATCGGAGCTCCGGCTCATGTAGAGGTCGGTGATATGAATCTGAGCTCCGGCTCACGTAGAGGTCAGTGATATGAATCTGAGCTCCGGCTCACGTAGAGGTCGGTGATATGAATCTGAGCTCCGGCTCACGTAGAGGTCGGTGATATGAATCTGAGCTCCGGCTCATGTAGAGGTCGGTGATATGAATCTGAGCTCCGGCTCATGTAGAGGTCGGTGATATGAATCGGAGCTCCGGCTCACGTAGAGGTCGGTGATATGAATCTGAGCTCCGGCTCACGTAGAGGTCGGTGATATGAATCTGAGCTCCGGCTCATGTAGAGGTCGGTGATATGAATCTGAGCTCCGGCTCATGTAGAGGTCGGTGATATGAATCTGAGCTCCGGCTCACGTAGAGGTCGGTGATATGAATCTGAGCTCCGGCTCACGTAGAGGTCGGTGATATGAATCTGAGCTCCGGCTCATGTAGAGGTCGGTGATATGAATCTGAGCTCCGGCTCATGTAGAGGTCGGTGATATGAATCTGAGCTCCGGCTCATGTAGAGGTCGGTGATATGAATCTGAGCTCCGGCTCATGTAGAGGTCGGTGATATGAATCTGAGCTCCGGCTCATGTAGAGGTCGGTGATATGAATCTGAGCTCCGGCTCACGTAGAGGTCGGTGATATGAATCTGAGCTCCGGCTCATGTAGAGGTCGGTGATATGAATCTGAGCTCCGGCTCATGTAGAGGTTGGTGATCTGAATCTGAGCTCCGGCTCACGTAGAGGTCGGTGATCTGAATCTGAGCTCCGGCTCACGAAGAGGTCGGTGATCTGAATCGGAGCCCTGGCTCACGTAGAGGTCGGTGATATGAATCGGAGCTCCGGCTCACGTAGAGGTCGCTGATATGAATCGGAGCTCCGGCTCACGTAGAGGTCGCTGATATGAATCGGAGCTCCGGCTCATGTAATGATCAGTATCGTGAACTAGAACTTTGGCTCATGTAGTGATTGGTAGCCAGACACAACTGAATCAGAACATTGGCTCATGTAGCACTTGGACATGAGTAAGCGCGGTGACTGATTTAGAGGTTGGCGGCCAGTCGCTGATTTGATTTGAAGCTTCGGCTCATGTAGTGGTCAGCTATGTGAACCCGAGCTCCGCCTTGTATAGCGGTCAGTGGCTAGTCACTGACATGATTTGGAGCTCTGACTTATCTTCCCGGCAGCTGTCAAGTCTTTCTAGCTGCTCCTCCTCCTCTTCACACATGCAGGTATGTTTTGTGTGTTCATAGTTTTGCACGTTCTGTACAGATTAAAAAGTTTTACTGAAACGTGTCATGTGATCCGTCTTCACTTTCATTGGTCAACAAGAATTCAGATGAAACGCCGAGCAGGTCTGTATGCACCAATCACAATTCATCGTGCAGCAAAGTGTAATCTCATTGGACGCTACTGCATCTAAACTACATTGCCAAATGTATTGGGACGCCTTTACACGCACATGAACTCTAATGGCATCCCAGTCTTAGTCCGTAGGGTTCAGTATTGAGTTTATGGAAAGGTGTCAGCGGAATATTTAGTAGCAAGGAAATGTCACGGATGGACTTATTGCAGAGGTGAGAACCTATCACGGTGTAGTCACTGAGCTCCTGAGAGCGACCCATTCTTTCACAGATGTTTGTAGAAGCGTCTGCATGCCGAGGTGCGTGATTGTATACACCTGTGGCCATGGAGGTGATTGGAACACCTGAATCCAATGATTTGGAGAGGTGTCCCAATACTTTTGGCAATATACAGTGTTTCCCCGAAAATAAGACACTGTCTTATATTTTTTTAGCCCCAAAAACCACACCGGGTCTTATTTTCAGGGGATGTCTTTTTTTTTTAAATGCAACAAAATGTACAACAATCTAAAGTTGTCTGGTCTCCACTCTCCTGTCACAGTAACCGGCGCTAAAGAGGAAGTATCGGCTAATGCGGCTCTGCTCCCTCCGCCGCAGCAGCATGCTTTCTAACTCTTGAGTATTTTATTAATTTTCCAAATTACAA